TATATATGTTGTTGTTGTGTTGTTTTTATTATAATTAATGTTGTAATGTCTGGTGTGCAGCAGTGCGGATCGTTTCTTTGCACTTATTTCAATTTACACAGCCTCGTCATGGAAAGCTTTTGAAATTGAAATGTCGAGCCAACTTGTGTAATTTGTAATGCCCCTTGCAACGCTGTTTACGGTTATTATCTAAAAGGCGGGCCTCCAATTTATAGATATGACCGAGCCAAACAGAGATAAATAGACCTTTTCCCAAGGACATAGCGTCGGCGGACTGAGCTAAGCTAGCTGAACGATTACGAGTGCACGGTGGAAGCATTATTATTAGAACAACGGACAAGTTCTTGAAGATACAGGGCGGGTGGTTGAAGGGCGCCACAGGTGGGTTCTGCTTATTTACTTTCCCTCAGTTGGGTCGGTCTATCTCTGTCTTACTTTTTCCCCAGCACAAATGACCATGATTGTGTTGATGAGCTTCTCTGTAATCAACAACAACAACAACAACAACAACAGCAACAACAGCAACAAAAACAGCAACAACAACAACATCGAAGAAAACAACAGCAATGACACACGTAACGTGGAGGTGAGGACTCGCTGGAAAAAATACACCCAAAAAAAAACCCACAACCAAGCAGTGAGAGATCCATTCTTAGTTTTATATTATACCGAACAAAAACTAAACAAAAACACTCATGTTATGACTCTTTATCACTATTTACGATTTTTCAAAGGGCCACCATCCACGCGTGACACGTGTGCCCTTGCAGTGTCATTTGTCATGAAATGGCCCTGTATCTTCAAGAACCTCTCTAGCCTATAGTATAGTATACAATATATTATGTTTGTAGTTTTGTATCATCATCATCATTTCCTCTCTCACCCTGGATCAGGATATAGGCAACGAACAAACATTTTCCACCTTTCCCAATCCTGGGCTAGTCGCTTGATGTCACTCCATGTCTTCCCACTTTTCTGTACATCCATTTCTCTGACTCTTCTCCAGGTCCCTCGTGGTCTTCCCCTTGGTCCTTTACCCTGTGGGTTCCAATCTAATACTTTCCTTGTTATTCAGCTGCTTGAAAGTGTGTCCAATCCATTGCCAAAGCAGCCTTCTTCCCACCTCATCTCTGACTGGGCTTTGTGTCGTTCTTCTGAATACTTCCTCGTTAGAGATCCTGTCTGTCCATCTGATCCTCAGTAGCTTCCTCAGACACTTGTTGAAAAAAAAACCTGGATCCTCTTTATGCACGTCTGAGATGCGTTCTATGTCTCACATCCATACAACAAGACTGACTTCACATTTGAGTTGAAAATCCTCAATTTTGTTCGTAGTGAGATACCCTTGGTCCTCCAAATCCTGTTCAAAGAAAATGCAGTCTGTGCCTTTCCAATGCGGGACTTTATTTCAGCACCTGTTCCTCCCTCTTATACTCCCACGATAGCCGAAGGATTCGACGTCTTCTAGTGCATTTCCCTCTACTGTGACCTGCTCCTTTCGTACCGTAGTGCATTATCCAGGAGTTTTGACTTTCCGGGGTGGATCCTCAATCCAACAGACTATGGTAGGCTGTTTAAATGGTGGTCTTTGCTTGCATCCGTTCCTGAGTGTGTGGCAGAAGTGCCAAGTCATCTGCAAAATCCACATCGTCCAACTGTGTCCATGGGGTCCACTGTGTGCCGTTTCTGTGTCATCTGGTGGTTTCGTTAATCAGCCAGTCGATTGCCAAGATAAAAAGGAAAGGTGATAGTAAACATCCCTGTTTCACACCGGTCTGGATGTCAAAGCTGTCAGTGAGCTGGCCATCATGTATAACCCTACAACTTGTCCCTTCGTACTCCTGATGAGGTTAACTAACTTCTGTGGGATTCCGTGATGTCTCAGTATCTTCCACTGTGTTGCTTGGTCTATACTGTCAAAGGCCTTCGCAAAGACAAGAAAGTTGACAATCAACTAGGAGTTCCACTCCAGGGACTGTTCCACTACATGTATGATCCTCAACGTAACAATCTGGTCCGTGGGTGACCGATTTTTCCGAAAAGCAGCCTGTTCATCCCGAAGTCTTGGATCCGTTGCAGACTTGATTTTCTCCAAAATGATTCTGTTGAAGACCTTACCTGATATTGAAAGAAGAGTGATTCCTCGGTAGTTACTGCAGTTGCTGAGATAGATCTATTCCTTTTTAGGAAGTTTCACAAAGTGTCCTTCTTTCCAATCCTTTGGGAACTTGCTCTCATTCCAGATCCTGGTAATCAATGTCTGCCGTCACATTGGCATATGTTTTTAGGGCATTAGGTGGAATCTGATCAGGACCGGACGCTTTCCCGTTGTTCAGCTTAATGACACCCATAATCGCTTGTTTCGATGGAGAATCACCGCAGATTGGTAACTCATTTCTTGCTGGCAGGATGTTTGGCGGGTTACTTGGTGGTGGTCTGTTCAGGAGACTGTTGAAATGCTCGACCCAACGTCTTGACTTAACCCTCTAGTGCCCAGAGTGCCATATCTGGCGCATGTCAAATAACCAGCTTCAGGGGAAACAGTAATTAATTTTTGTTATGTTCGGTAATTTCATGAGGTAGGTAACTGGAGAAATATCCTCTGAGTGCCCTTGGGGTATTTTTTACTGCAATAATTTCCCCTTTCAACTTCCTGTTTTTTACCACCACTTGTGCTTGAAACAAACAACCGCACCCACTCTTCTTCAGTCTATCACCATCAACCGTCAGGTACATAATTGTGTCAATTTTTCCTAATATCACTAATATAATGTTTTGAAACAAAGTAGATATAGATATTATCACCATCAAATTCCATCTTCAACGTTTAAATTTTGATTTATGGGGGTGTTTTTAGGTATGGTCTAAATATGGCACACTGGGCAGCCCTGGACGGTTTTGTGTGCCAGATGTGGAACATTGGGCATTTGAGTCCTGATTTTTATCACATAGCCCTGTTTCAATGTAAAATGTCAAAAAGTTCAAGTTGACTGGACAAATAAAAAAAGCAGATTGACTTCATTTCAGTGTAATTTTATACATACAGTAAACAGCCTTTAGACTGTATGTAAGGGTTCATAAAGTTATTTTTCTCTATACAAGTGTATTTGTACAAACTGTGAAACACACACTACCGGTACTTAATTTTTTTTTCTTGAAACGATTGCATTTTGTCAGCAATGAGACTCATGATGACAGCACAAGCAATGATCGTGTATGGAAACTCTGCCCGTGGATCAATGATCTAAAATCCAATTTCAAAAAGATTATTCCTTCTAAGCAACAGTTTGTTCATGAAATTATGGTATCTTTCAAAGGTCGGTGTAGTCTGAAACAATACATTGGATTCGGAAAATACCCCACAAATGGGGTTTCAAGTTGAGGACTTGTTGCGGAAGTGAAGGCACTCTGCACGACTTTGATGAGTATCAAGGTTCAAATGGAGCCCATACTCGTAGATCTGAACTAGGCATGAAAGGTGATGTTGTCATGGACATGGTGAAGAACTTGGAGGATGGAAAGAATCACAAAATTTTTGCCGATAACCACTTTTCGAGCGTAAACTTTTGAAACAGTTGAAGGAGAAAGGACTGCTATATGTGGGAACCGTCCGTGAAAACCGCTTGAAAGGTTGC